TAACCCAAGCTGATGGACAGAGGTGAAACTGGACAGTTAAACATTCAAAACCACAGGTTACCCTGAGGGACCAGAAGAAGAACAGAATTTCTCCCAGTCCACCGGTCACTTAAAAATATCCATGCTGATGACCAAAATCCTAAAAATGTCATTTTCTGCCCCAAATATAAAATATTATTTTATCTCATTAAAGGACATTTGTCATTTGCAAAATGTATACTTTAAAAAAAAATGAACTGGAAACAAACACGAGAAATGTTTCCAAAGCAGAATTCACCTCAGTCTAAACAAAGGCAAAACAGTCAAACAAAGGAGACATTTGCTCTTGAATTAAACTTTGCACGTGAAGCTGCAGATGAGCAAAACCAGGTTTTCACCCAGTTCCATCCGACTTATCCCACTAAAGAACAAGACTCGATTAAAAATCCTTGCAACTTTTGGAAGGAGGGGGAGCTTTAACCCCTTGCCCTGGCCAAACTGTGCGTGGGCCATCGCGTCCCACGCGCTTCAGCTCTAACTTCAGCTCTGAGCGACTCCTCGTGCCTCCGCTTGCCGCACGGTTAGTTCCTCCTATTTCTGTGGGGTTTAAAACAACCTCTAAATCTGTCAAACCTTGTTTAGCTGAGAAATCAAGTACGTCTGTTTGCAGCAGCACATGAAAAAAGCCGTCTCAAACACCGCTCAAACGGAATGACTTTCTTATTCCCGGCTTTATTCAAGGAAATGAGGTTTGACTGTCGAGTACTCACCTAAATCAGCAGAGCTTATAGAAGTGCTTTGGGATTGCAGCTGAATGAAAGGAACGTTCTTATTTCTGATAATGGGAAACAGTTCTTGTTGAATTACAGTTCTGGCTCTAAATTTTCAGTACTTAGATAATTAGGAATTCAGAAGGAATACTGATTGCCAACAGAATTTTTGCGCAGATTCTACAGTGATTTGGGGTGGGGTTTTTTTGGGTTGGTTTGTTTGTTTGTTTGGGTTTTTTTGGGGGGTTTTTTTTTGGTTTTTTTGTTTGGTTTTGTTTTTCCCAGATATTGGTTTCCCGGTTGTATTTTCAAACATGAAACTCCGTATCAGTTCTGTGAAGTGGATAACAAAGTACAGGGCCACCAGAGCATACCTGTACGCATGCCAGGATCTCCGCGACGGAGACAAGCACTAGAGCAACATTTTGGCCAGCATCCCTTGCTTTGTAGGCAAACTGTCAATACTGAAATGCCTAAAAATGCAGCTAATGAAGGCATTCCAGTTTATTTGAGTCACAGAAGGGTGCTCATTTTTATAGTTTTGTTTTGCAGGACAAAATATGTAAAACTAACAAGGAATGAAAGAAAGAAAGAGAGAAGCAGAAAAGAAATAACCCACAACCTTCACTTTTTTTTAGACCAATTTCTAGTTGAACAATCCATCAAACCATAACGTTTTGATTATTTTTACATCAGGACCACAGAAGCCCTGAAGAATTCAAGAGATGGAGGCTCTTTCAGGTGGGATTCAAGATCTGACCTGAAAGGTCGTTAATAATGGTACTGTACTGCCTGTGCAGCCATAACTACATGTCAAGAATTTTAGTAAAACGTCAAGATAAATGGTGAGGTCCTGCCTATAGTGAACTTCATATCAAAAATAACCAATGGGGCCAAGGAGGATAACCAGAGGCTCTCCTCTCCCAAAGCCTGCATGCCTAAACATTATTACACGAAACAAAATCAAACCCAAAAAACAGTATTCTGCAGCTCACAGGATGATTTACAAGTCAACTGTGCAGCTGATCCTAGTCTAACCTTACAAGAAACATCCCCTGGAAGACTCCTGGACATATGTTGTCCATCTCAACCTCTTGGACAAAAGCAGCATGAGGAGAAAAAGAACAGTTAAAAACGAGGATGTTGGAAGATTTGCTGAGGGAAAAGAACCTTATTACTAAAAAGGCAGAGGCTGTGAATAACAGAAGGAGATGTAATCCCAGGAAGTTCCGCCTCAACATGAGGAAAAACTTCTTTACTCAGAGGGTGGCAGAGCACTGGGACAGGCTGCCCAGGGAGGCTGCGGAGTCTCCTTCCCTGGAGATATTCAAAACCCGCCTGGATGCCGTCCTGTGTGACCCGCTCGGGGTGACCCTGCTTTAGCAGGGGGGTTGGACTAGATGGTCTGCAGAGGTCCCTTCCACCCCCCACCGTTCTGTGATTCTGTGACAATCGGAGCCCATTTCTAGGTGACCTACTGAAAATGGGCAGTCTTCAAGGGCAGAACTACCTCCTTGGTGAAACATCACCTGACCTGAACAGAGCGCCAAGCAAACCCCTCAGTACCTGAGTTATCTTACAATACTTTTAGGATTTCTTACTGTTATGTTGATCTATGTTATTGTTATGATAACCTCTGTATGAACATGCTCTCCACACTTGCACAGACTCTTCACAGTCACCAGCATTTCCTAGAAGGGAATTAATTCCTGAATTAGTCTTCTAGGGAATGACTTATTTGTACACCACGCATCTTGTGAGTCTAGAAAACACACAGAACGTTCTTGAAGAGAAGACACTTCCTCCCTGGACAGGGACATAAATCTTCCAAGGACATAAAATCAACAGAAAGGGAACAGGGACAGGGATTACTGGTAGGAATACCTGGCTCAATGTTGAAGTCTCTTTTCTATGAAGTATAAAGATAATGTGACAGAGCTTCGACTAATGTAAACGTTGACAATAATCCTGAGAAAAGTCCACATCTTGAGGAACACGTTGTCTTAACATCTGAACGCAGTGGAGGATCTTACTAAGCTGCTCTCCTTACCTATTTCAATGGATTTGTACGCTCTCCGTTCCACGCTGGTGAAGCAGATTTCATTCCCTTGAAACCTAGGGAATGCTACTTCCCTGCTCGATACGCCTTTACAATCACTTTCACCAGAAGAGATTCGAGCAGGCAGCAGTCTAGCGGCTAAAGGGAACCTCTCCTGAACTCAAATTTCATCTTGCACCCGAGCTGAAAAATGCAGAGAGAAGAGAATTCTTCATTGCACCACACAACAGGCACAGACACCCCGCAGTTTAAACACGTGTGTGCTCCCCCTGAACGCAGCCGATGCCCAGGACACAGAAGGAAAGCTGGGTAAGAAAAAAACTTTGGGAAGACGACAAGAAAGCCGCTGTGGCCAACACGAATATAGCAAGAGCGCGGTATGTGGTAGCACGCAGCGGCTTTGCCATCCCAGCTTTCTCACTGTCATTTCCAAGTGACAAATTGTTATTAAACAGCCATGCTAAAATGTACAGGCCTTGCTTTATTTTTAGGCTTCTATTTGGATGCCAAGCTCTTCAAACAGCACCCAGTCTGAGAAACACTATTAAAAAAGAAACTGAGGAGTAGTCAAATTCTTGGCCTGTTGCAAACATTGTACTCAGTAAGCTGTGGTTCAGTTCGCATTGTACTTGTGCGTCAAGAAAGATCCTCAAGAGAAGTAGGAATTTACATGGAGCGTAATACTTACCAGGGACGACATTCCCAGAAATTGGGTGGGCTTAACCCTTCTCCTTTCATTTAAAAAAAAAAAGGTTATCCTGAATTCAACTGTGTAGAACTTGTGGCTATGCCCCATTCACGAATAGATTAAATACATCACGAGCCATATATTGACAACCACCACACAGCGAGTCAGCTGAAAAACCAACACAAAGCAACACCTCCCCCAGTAAACTCTGTATTTTTCTAAAACGTGCACCACTAAGATAACCAGGTTGTAGCAAACAGGTATCCTTTCCACTCAAGCTCGGCAAATACGAAAAAGCAGCTTTCCTGAAATCGGTATCAAATTCTGCAGAAGTTCCAGTCGCGGGAGGATTTCGCCTTGCTGTTGCAGGTAGGAGAGCAAGACAGGTATCAGACTTTTGCAGCCCAGCTTTTTGTGGATGAATCCCAAACTGAGGTATTGCCACCAACGGCCGGATGAAGGAGGGAGGAGGAACTAAAAGGGAGAGAGCTCAGAAGAACTGTTCACATTTTAAAAAAAATATTTCATAAATTCATTGTATTATAAAATAGGATGTGCGGACGCAAAAGCTTAACTATCACATACTTCTTGCACTGGAGATTCAGATAACAACATGATCTAAGATTTATATCTTCCTTATAGACTTAATCTTATTTCTCAGTTTGACAGCAGAGATTGCCAGATCGCACCTGTCTTCAGGTATGGCAGAACTACACTCTTACTGCACAGTCCAGTCAAACCGTATTCATTCCTAAGGCAGAGAGCAATGTAGAGCTGCACTATTCATAAATACACATTTATTTTTCATTAGAAATGCATAATTACAGCATTTAAAAGCATTTTCCCCTAGAAAAGTAGTTAAGCAACAGTACAAACAAAATCGTTAGTCTTCTGCAAATACAGTTTTCATTACACTGAACAGAAAACACCAGCAAAAGGCTAATACTTGCAGTTATGGGGTTTTTCTTTTTTTAAATATTTTCCATTTTTGTTATAAACACCATAGCAAATAAAAAAGCTGTTTAAACAGTGAAAAATATTTGAGCTCTTGATCTTCTATATGTGGTAAAGCAAGTATTGCAAAGCAGCAATACACTTCCTAAGATACCTGCAGACATTCAAATGGCGTATTTCACAGAAGAAATGAACGGGATGAAACATTAATTTAAGTCTCATGGTTACTCATTGGATTTCTTTTGCTCTTTCTGAAAGATTTTGTTGTTTTCCTCTTGCAGTGTACCTCAGTGCAGGCCATTTATTTTTGCCAAAGGCCAGATCTTCGGCCGATGTAGTGATGTAGCTCCAATTTAAGTAAACGGGTCTGACCTATTCCAGGTGAGGACAACGAGAGCATCAGAACTCTGGTACTTGCAGGAGATGCTCGAGGTGTGACCGTTCGTCTAACAGGCGTTTCCATTCTCCTGGTGGTGCGTGGAGACTACGGCCCTGCACTGCTGACTGGGGTGCGCTGACATCTCGGTTGACGCAGCTTTTTGCCATTCTTTTACTGGATTTGGATTGCTCCGTGTTCTATCTGCATTTCTGGCTGGATCGCTGATTGAAGGGTGTCCGTGCCCTGCAAAAGGAAACATGGAATCAGTAAATCAACAGAAAAGTGCTTTCCATCGGTGTAGCCAAGGGTACGTGAAGAAATTATACTACTATAAAGTTTTTGTATGAAAAGCCACATGGATATCAGTCCTACGAGAGGCTTGAAATGGGAACACATTTACAAAGGCACCAAAAATAACCTAAAGAGTTCACATGGCGACTAAGTAGGGTGATGCCCTTCAGGCTGGAAAGAGAAGGCTAAAATAACCAAATCATGATGAGGATCTACAAAGTCACGAGTGGCACAAAGAAAGCAAATAGAAAACAATTACTCCCCCTCTCTTCCCAAAAAAGAACCAGCTCCCAAAAGAAACCAAATCAAGCCTGTGTGTGGCGCAACACGCGCCGAAACTGCGGAAGGCCTCGGTCCTGCACGGGTACAGCGTTATGGAAGGGAAGTCCACCGGGGTGATCACAGAAAAGATGGTAGGAAGTCCTGGTGTGACAGAACTACTGTAGGTAATGAGAGTACAATTACCTGTTTGCCCTGTGCTTGGAATTTCCCCAGCTGGGGCAGGACACGGTCTAAAATTGCTGACTTTACCCACTGCAGCCTATTTTGTGTAAAATGCGCTACTATGGTGAACTTTTTTCTCAAATAAAATTCTTCCTACAGGCCTGATGCTACTCACTTTCCGAGCAAAACCGACTCTCTGTGAAACAATTTAAAGCAAACACAACTGACTCGAGCTTTCAAAGGAAGTCTCCTTAAAAACTAAACGGCTGCCGACCAGTAGTCCGACCACGCTGTGGAAGGACAATCCCATAGCAAACTGCCCTTTTAGCCAAGTGAGCTGGAGGAAGGCAAACCAGATTATGAAACAAACTCCATCTTTAGAGCTATAAGAGGAACAGCATTTAAGAACAGCTGTATTGGCTTGGATAAAGTCCATCACACCCAATAAGCCTTCCCCTGATAGCAGCCAGTATCACAAGCGTAGATAAACTACAAGAAAAGGGCGAGCACTTAATGCTATTTTCCTGCACACTCCCGCAGATTCCAGAGATCTGCCCTTGATGGATTTTCCCTCCATAAATATATCTAATAGATGCTTTATGTAACACCCTGGATACAGAATTATTTACGTGGCAGTACTTCTGCTATGAAAAAGTCTGCCTCGAAGCCCTGCTTTATGGTCTCAGCCCAGTAGCTGCGAGACGATCCACAAAGACACAAGGGTAGAAACTCAATTCCCACCTTTTAGGTTTTACTATACGGTCGCTGGGGGTTCAAAAGTATAAAGCATTGCTCCTAAATTAAGGTTCTGTTGGCAAATTATTTCTCTTCATCTCTCTGCCTCGTTGACAGTAATTGCACACAGCTACAAGACTTCTTCCATAACTCTGTATGTAACTCAGTGTTTACTCAAATGTTCAATAAATTAGTGCCAAAGTGGTGAATAATTCTATCAGATTGCTGAATTTGAGAGCAGGTAAGGTTTCAAGTGACCATCAAAGTTTTCTTTCCCGTTAGACAAAACCTGCACTGAAGTAATTGTATTACAATTACAATTACAGCAGCAGCAGCATTGAACATTTATCCAACATTCAGGCCAGAAGTAGAAGACTGCCCAAAGGGATTGAAAGCACACTTGAGATTTGAAATCGTGTTTTTTTTCCAAATCTAAAAAAAATTTACCACGAGCTTATGAATTTGAGCATAGAATTAACCCAAATATCCTTTGTCATCATCACAGTCTGCATTTCTAAATTTTCCAAGCTGCTACAAGTAAGAACGTTATCAAGGCACGAAAACAAGCCAACTCAAGTTAAATCCCCAGAAAGCATCTGGTTTCAAACATGCCTCCCCCCGTACATGCATTTGCAATTTTATGGCAGCAAAATACTGTTCATATATTAATAGTTTGTGTTTACATACGTGGTTTAGGCTCACCACGGGACTGTCAGAATCCAAACTATTAATACTTCTGTCTACAGCTAATTCGCAAATACAGAATTGTGCACGAATACATCGAAAATACCGAGTTGAAGTGCATGTGGCTGAAGTCAGAGAAGGGATTCATTTCGAACAGCCTCACTCCTACCTTCAGCTTTGCATGTGCGATTGCTTCCAAAGGCACAGCCTTCAAGGAAAAAAGGTTGGGAAACTGGTATCTTGTTTTCAGACATTAAATAAATTCACACTCAGTGGTGTTTCAAGCACGGAATTTGTGTAGGGCATACATCCAACCCAGGTGGATAATAAACTCCACTTTTATAAGCTTTAGTTGCTAAATAGATACAAAATCATCGAGAACATCTCAGCACCTTGACAAAGAACTGTATGAACACGAGGAAAGTGTCACCTCAGCCGCACTGACAGGGTGCTCCCTTCAGATAAGGGATCCTTCTAAGAGGATGCACGATGATTCCATAATTTTAGTGGGGAAAAAAAGCGCTCTTGAACTCCCCATCTAACTCAGAGTAATGCAAATACCAAGTTGGTTTCTCCTATTCATTAACAGATCCTTAGTTTTTAGGTTGTGTAAACTGAGGAAATATTTATGGCAAACTTATTTTTAGTCTTGTCTGTTTTTCCTTTCGTACTCTTCTTATTTCACATTCCTCTTCTGCTTCTCCTCAGCTTTGTATAAACCTCTGTGGTTAACCACAGTATGAAAACCTAACGCGGTGCAAAGTGTCCCTGAAGAGAAAAGCAACTCCTCTGGTGGCTGCCAGTCGTGCGGGAGATGGATGCCGCTGTTTATAACCCAACTCGGGAGCCCCCCGCCCGTCAGAGGTGCTAGCTGAGAAGGGAGGACAGGCACGAGGAACAGACCCAGCAGTAAGTCCGGGGGAGGTAAATTTGATAATTTCCCAGGCCTGGAGCGAGGACAGCAGCACGAGAACAAACACCTCTCACTCCCTGGTGCCTATATGCTTTATTAATTGCATGGGACCAGCAGTACCTGAGGATTTATAGGAAACAAGGCACCAACGCTGCAGCAACACTCTCATTGCCCAGGGCACTACTACAAATGGCTAGGAGTAAAATACTGAGAAGGTCAGTGCAGAGACAAATCTAGCCGAGAGGGGAAAATGGTTATTAAGGGCTCACCTACAGGGGAAGATCAGCGTCCAGAGAACTAGAACGCACCTTGCAGCGCAGCACGCTCACGCCAGGCAGCGTGACCCTCCCTGCCAGGCAGCAGAACTCTTCTGGAAAGCACTTTGCAGCACCCAGGTGGGGAACCAGCGCGGACTGGGGCAACTAAGCGAGTTCAGAGCTCTGGTCTCCCTACCAGCACCAGCCAGCGCTGGCGGCACTTCGGCACTGGGCGATGCAGCTCCATCTTTTGTCTGACGTCACCCCTCTTTGCCACTGGGGTGACAAACGTGCTCTGCCTTCGTGTACCAGACCCATCTGCAGGTTGCCTCACCCATGGAAAAAGCACTAAGCGCTTGAGTCTTGCGCACGCAAAGTTTGGGCGAGATTCCCTTGATTTCTTACGCAATTTATTTTTCCTCAAGAGATTCAATATCCAAATGTCTGTAACCAGGTAAGAACTCTCTACAAAACGGGGTATGTATCAGACAAAAATCCACTCTAATATTGGCTGCTAAGGACGTTCACAACCACTTGGCATTCTCTAGAAAAGGAGCCCACTACAGTGGGGTTCACGGAAGAATGTGTAACCAACTTCAGAAAAACCTCTGACAAATGCTTTAAGTCAACATTCTTGTGTTGTCGCCAGTCACAGCTTCCCGCTGAGGAGAAACTTTTTCTAGACTCAGGTACACGACTGTTCAAAATGCTTTAAAAAGAAAAAAAAAAAACAAACAACAAAATTCCTCCCCCGTAACGGAGAGGATCAAGTGTTCACTTACAACTGCTAACATTGCCACTCCTGCGGGAAATCCAGGCTGTGGATCAAAATAACTGGAAAACTGCTGTCAGAAAGGGAATAACATTTTTAAGGAAACCTCAGGCTGAAAAATACTTTTTGGCTTGATTCCAAGCAAGTTTTTTTGCCCTCTCCTTTAACACGGCTCTCCGCCTTCAAGGATGCAGGAAAACAATGATGACCAAAATAACTATTCTCTAGAGGCATTGAGCAAGAACATCGAAGCAGGAATAGTCAACGACCATTTATACCTTTAACAAAATGATGTTTCTTATTAGGGATGAACTTTTTTTTATGGTTTGGAAACAGGATCATAAACTCATTGGGACTGCAGCATTTGTGGATAGCTATATAGTTCATCTGACAGATGTTTCAAGCAAGTTAAGTACATTCGAATGGCAAGGAGATAGATATACATACTTGATTAGTCGCAGAGTGGTCTGTCACTGGTGTCAGCTGCACATATTGGACTTGGATATCACTCCCCTGGAGCGGGGAGCCATCAACACCTCCCGACGCAGGCTCGGCAGAAGCCACAGCTATCAGCTGAGCGCCCTGCAACACCTGCAGGGAAAGCAAGGGAGAAAGCAGCTTGTAAACAACCACAATCAGAAATTCATTACGAACCACCTAACTCAAAACAGATGCAAACCAAAGAACATTCAAAAGAAACACAAGAAAACTTGTCTATCAGTAACAGTTGCTTTAAATCATGTGGGTTTCCGAGAGGACACGGGACGCACATGGAAAGAGTCCCATACTAGATGCTCACCGCATTTTGCCTTATGAAATTCCTAATTCTGTTAATGATTATTGCAAAGACTAAGTGGGACAGACTGAGCAGGTTACAGTGAGGGTGATAACGTCAACAGGACACAAAACAGGATCGCTGAGGAATGCTTTTACAGACACAGGTCCAAGATACTCCTCCTCACAGCCAAAGGCATTCAACTTTTGACAATTTATGACAGTAATGTTTATTCCTATCGTATATGAAGGTGTAGATTTAAGAATTACTGCTCATTAATGCCTACTCTAAACATATCTGCTCTGCATTTGACTGCAAGTCCCCTATAGGCTTCAAAAAGCAAAGAACAGCTGATTCATCTAAAAGTGTTTGCTTAAAAATGCTCTTGTGATTAGACTCATTTAAATTTACCTCTTGAAACACAAATCAGAGTAAAATACATGTATGTAAACAATGACAAGTCCCCAATCCCATTTTTAAAATTCAGCTAAAAGATACATCTTCAGCTTTCATTTCTATATGCCGCGAACGATGTATTTTTAAACTACGGTATTTGAACCGCAGTGAACAAAAGCCATCTTTCAAAGGAAGGAGAAAGAGAACAAAGAACAAAAATATCATTCTTAACAAAGGTTTTTCTTAACAAAGTATGATTTCTTAGCTGATCTGCGGGTGGGTGGCCATGAAGGAGTGAGTAGACCAGAATTTCCCCAGGGAGTGTGGGAGGCAAAAAGAGGTGACCTCCATAAACGACCTTTAGGGGTGTTGCCAGGCTTTTATAGGGATCTTGGGTGTTCTGAGATACAGACAGCATCAAACTGCAAAAGGATGCTACATTTTGTTTTTACAGGGGTAAGCGAAATTCTCTCTTCCTACGGTATTTGTTTTGGAACTGTACGATACGTACTGTCGGAACCACATCACAGGCTGTCCTGTTGATCACCTGCAGGTCTCAAATGTATTTTTTCCTCATTTATTTCCCAGCTACAAACTTCAGAACGACCGTGAGCGACTGAACAAGCCCATCATTCTCACCTACAAACTCTTTTACAACAAAGAAGCCTAAAGCTTAGAACAGTCCCGGCTTCCCTCTTCTACTGTATCTTTCCAACTGCACCCCTTCCAGCGCACTTCCCAAGAACTCCCTTTTACAGCACACACTCTGCAGAAGACCAAATAACTCTGTTAGATGTTGGCTTACACCAAACCTGTTTGATTCTGAGGGATAATCTACCTTTACCACCCGGCCTACAAAAAAAGCCCCCCGGCAATACTTGCATAAAACACTTCTGGCTGTCAAATTACACTTCCCTGCTGGTTCCATGCAAGTGGTTACGTGCTTTTCCTATCGTGTCTTCCTGCTGGATGAACCATGTGTAGTTAAGCTTTCCTTCACAAAGAAACGGGAAGCACTTCTACAGGACGTAACGATGAAGCTGAGCTGGTTTCACAGCGGTACAAGGGACAACATGCCAACATCAGCAGGGGCTGACAAACCCAGGTATTTATGAATTTCCACTGACAAGGTCATAGATTGAGTGCTGCTGCTCCATTCCCCCCACCTAGCCGGGTGAAAACCAACTCAGTGAAGCTTAAATGTGCTCCAACCCCAACTCACGACTACAGCAGTGCCAGCTACATACACCGTGCTTGGCTTCCAGCTGGATAGCTTGACAAAAATCAGGCGGGTAGATTGGAGAGATGAGACATCAGCCATTATAAAACTACAGTTAGCATAGGTTGTCCTTCTTTGTCATGGCCTGTTTGTGCAGATCCCAAGGACTCCAGGCTCCAGCATTCAACAGCGGAGGGTGGGCGGCTCAGCAAGGCGGGCCCATTTCCACCAGCGTTACGCCAAACTACGTGGGCTTTGCAAACCAGCTGACTGGCTCTAAATTGAACGTCGCACTGATATGTTTATTCGCCACCAGTTGCCGCCTTTGTATTTTTCCCTATAGCTAGAAACCACGTTAGGATGCTTGGAAGGCAGGAAAAGGCCATTTTTCAAAACTGAGAACCCTTTCACTTCTTTGGGTTTCTCTTTATCCATTCGTCCATCACGCACAATCTACTTAATACGCGTTTAAAATCACTTCCAAAAAAAAAATAATAATCTGTCTGGACTTTGAAAACTAAAGGAACAATCTAATGCTGAAAAAGACTTAATGTTTTCCACTTAATACACACTAACATTAATGGCTGGCTTAGATCTCATTAAATACTGCCTAGCTTGTTATTGGGGCATAACTGGCTCTATAATCAGTCACTGAACAAATGAGAATTAAAGCAAGAACAGGGAAAAGATCCCAGTCTTAAATTAAACCATCTGACTGAACTTTAAATGAAGGAATGCGCCACAAGCTCTTCTTAATATCTGTTTATATACAGCACTCGGAACCGCACTATTTTGCAGTTTCTATTTGAATTACTGTGCAGCTTCTAAAATTAAGACAGAAACGGATGAGAGGAGAAGGGGAGAACTGCCATATATTTACCCTTATTTAGTGGGTTTTTTTTTTTGAAAGGGATTTGGAAAGAAAACTGTTTCTGCAGTCTCAGTGGCACAGTACCTTGTGTTTAATCTGCTGAGCCAAGGAGAGGATCAACCCAATCTCAGGCTCAGCCTGGAACATTTGATCCCACTGTGTATGTCTGAACACTTCTGTCAAACGCGACACAGTGATGACCTGCAGCTTAATAAAGGTATCACTTAACTAATCGCACCGCATTCATAAGATAACACAATTTATCATGAATCTCAGGTGTATCCAAGCAGGAAAATCCAACTGAACTGACATTAAAAACAGCAATAAATTACATTTTCTCTAGGCATTACTGGAGATTATGATAAATTTATAGTATTTCTGTCTTAGCTTAAAAACAGGCTAAAAGTTTATTATACTGAAGAACTATGACTGATGTCACCCTTTCTGCTTCTCACAAATAGCAGTATTGATAACATTTTGTTCCGAAAAAGCCTAACTCTGGCAAACAGAGCAGCGAGTTTGGTTATGGTCCTTGGATTCCGCTTGCATTTGCAAAACCTTTTTCTTCCACAGTATTCACAGTGCCTTATAAAACCAGATATCCCCATTTCCTTTAACACAGGGGAAGAAATCACCTCAAAATACATGTTCATAGAAAAACAGAGAGACAGAAATGAACATAATAAAGGACACAGAGTGGATTCAAGTGGCTTGAACACTCTCTCAGCAGTATTTAACTGAAACAGGACTTAACTTCAGCCCTGTAACTCCAACCAGCCTCACCCGATAGTTTTGTTCTGCTCGTAAATGTCACGTTTTATACGAAGCCATAGCGAGGCTGCAAAAATCAAAGGCATAAAGGGATCAACTGCTTTCTGCAACATGGGATGCATGGAGAAGCTGGGTGGCAGAGCCTTTTGCGAATGGGGCAGGTGCAAGTATATGGCTTTTCTTTGGCTGCTCACTCGACTTCCAAACCAACTAACCTTGTAATTCTTGACCCTGACCTTAAAATAAGACGAATTGTAGCAAAAAAAAACCCCAACAATCCACCCTGAAAATGAACTTCTCTTCCCAATTCCACTGGGCTTCTCCAACATCCTGCCTTCCAGGTCCAAAAGAGGTAACAGAGTATGGTTAAACTGAAAAATAACGAACTTCACTTCTAACAAAATGGATTAATTGACTCTCCTACACACAAAGAACAAGAAGCTTGAGGTCACAGAGGTATCTGACGTGGAACGTCGCTCAGGCGAACTCGGACTAGTGAGAGTTTGAGGCTGAAACCGATCCTGAAAAAAGAGTGCCCTTCAAGTTAACAAGCAGACCAGAAATTTTTGTAAAAAAATAATTTGGTGGAGTATTTAGAAAAGTACATTTGGTCATCTATTATTGCTTGCTGCCAGCGGTAAAAAGCTGTCTTGACAGTGAGAAGGTCCTTAGCTCTCACGGAGCCAGAGCCCGCTCTTTACATTGCACAATTATTTCCACTGCAAGCACAAGCAACGGCACAGCTGGAACAGAGCAGCTCACTGAATTCTTCCATTCTTTCAGCTTGCAGTTACAACCACGGATGCATGCCTTTCTCCAAACAGAAAACCCAGTGAAAAATGTTTATCAAGAAAAATTGGAATCCTTTAGGAAACGTCTGTAAGATATTTGAGAATATCTTTGAGACGTATGTTTTTGGGAATGCTTCAAAGCGACCAACGCTCTCAAGTACATTTTGTGACCTGCCCTGATCTTTGCAAGCCTTCATGTCCCAAACCTTGCTGCCTCAAAGATGACCACATTGCCCAGTGACCCCCGTGAAGACAACTTGCCTAAATCAGGAAGCAAGCATGAAAGAGCCCTTTCTCTCACTATTCCCTTTCGGAATAAGTAACTGTCCCCTCGCACCTTCAGAGAGAAATATAAGTGCATTTCTATTAGTTTTGATTTTAAACAGTCCTAGAAATACCAGAAGGGAAAGTATTTTGTTCAGATGTTTGAAATGAAGTGTGAACTCCTGGCATTGTTCGTGAATACAGAACCACAGCCTCTTTGACCAAACACTCAATTTTCCTTAAAGCTCTATAAGCTTTCCACGGGAGACAGAAGAGCTGACAGATGTGATAAAATGAGCTAAGGGACAGACAGCTCCCTCCTACCCACTCAAAGCACACTGTGCCCATACGTACATTCTCTGTCCCTCCTTACAGCAACATTAACACAAACCCAACGTCGACACCAACCCTGGCCAGAACCGCAGCAGAAGCGCAGACCCTTGCAGTGGTGTCCCCCTGACTGAAATCTCTGCCTTTCTCTTTGCCTTTTATTTTTTTCCCCCT